TTTCACCTAACTATCAATTATATAATTATTTCTAATCAATTTTCCCAAGTTTATGACTAAGAACCTTAATTTAATTCTACTCCCTCTCCCAAGTGCCAAGTAAAAATTATTCCTATATTTCAATTTCAATATCTCTTTTCCGAATTAAAATCTAGAAATTACCAAGTTCGTGGTTCTTATGTAGAACGTGCTTCAATGAAATAATACTTTCTCTCGAAATCTATAGTTTTTTTAGGTTGTATTATTTTATGATCGTGCCTAAATTCTTCTCTCTTGAGTGCCGAAATTGACAAGCATCTAATCATTCAATTAGTGATCAATTAATTAAAAGCATTAAGAATAAATAATACAATAAACATGATTAGAAAATTTCAATAAAATAACTATCTAAATATCAAAACATAATCTCAAGCAAGGACGAAGCCAATAATTAATGTTACAGGGGGCAAACATTTAGAAATTTAATATACTAATAAAATTCATATATAACAAAAAAAGTCATAATATAATATTACAATTACAGTTGTATCCGACGATGCATTACAACATAAAATTTATCAATAATAGAAACTAAATCTATATCTAAATTCAAAGAAAATTCTCGTTCAATGTAAAGCATCAAACAACCAGCAAGAAAACTATCATCCATTTTTTACAAATTTTCGTCTTCACATGTTTCTTTGCTGAAATGTTGGCTCCACAGTAGCCATTGAAATAGGCAATATCAATATTAGATAAATCAATTTAGTCAAAATGACATAACTCTCCGACCTTCTACTTGCAACGAATTCCTAACATAAATCAGAAAGTATAGATACTTGAAATCGAGGTTCAGAAATCACATTGTGTTAATAATGTTGCAACTCAACTTTCAAACTATAAATATCTTGTTGTGTAAAATCTTAAGGATAAAATTTATCTACAAGCTTGCAAATATTATCCATGTTAAATGATTCAAAAGAATTTTTCGAATCCAATGTTGCATCGAGAGAAATGAGTTCTAATGATGTCTTATTAAATCTTATATCTAACTACGTCATCAGAAAATATATGGCTACATTAAAAATATCAAAGTGGTAATGATATTCGATGGTAGGATACTCACGACCATGAGGCCGATCAACCATGTATGAGACATGAAAGTCAGGTGTTTTTTGAGTAAAAAAATTTCACTTCTTCAAGAAATTCTTCCCAGCCATCTTCTCTCAATTGTTGAAGGATGGTCTTTGCATTATGGAAAATCTCACAGCAGTTAAGATGTCTTGTGTTTTTTCTTGAAAGGCTTGACAAAGCACATCTATAATTACCAACATTATGAGCATTAAATGCAAAATAAATACAAATTCAAATGTTGTTATTTTTTTGAACACCAACTTCGGACCGACTTCTTATATTTGGAGAATGATCACTATGATACTCAAGCACCTTGCAAGTTGCAGCATACATATCAATTAAACTCTTTACAAAGTTGTAATGAGAAGAACAATGAGTACCTCCTGCTCATTGCAAATTACCAATTTGATTAGCCCCATTTCCAGACTCTCATTCTCCAATTTCCAACAAATGTTCAATTTCTTTTTTTGGGCACTTTTCAACTCATTGATGTGCATAGGTGATGATGTAATCATATTAATAATATTGTTCAAATCTAAAAAGCATGAATTAATAGCTGTGATATCCCTAGCTACTGAAACCAATGTGAGTCGTAAACGACGAGCAAAATGATGGACATAATATGCATATGGACAATCTCTAAGAAATAATGCTTGTAGTCCATTCTAAGCACCACGCATATTATTAGCACCATCATATCCTTGACCTCTCATGTTTTGCACTTGAAGGTTGAAACGAACAAGAACATTAGAAATTTGATTCTTTTGATTCAATGATGTAGTGTCGCTAATAATTTTGATTGCAAAAAAAAAAAAAAAAAAAGGTTCT